CAGATTCATGTAATCACCCCGTAGCAGATCTATACAGGTGGAGCTGGGGAAGGTGGAGGGTTTCTGAAGTGCGCTGCCAACTGCTACAGCAAACAAAGCCAGGTATTTGAATATTGAGCAGTGAGCTCATTGGCTACCACCAATACAGAAGAGAACCAATCAGCTGCCATGTGACAATGATGTTACCAGGTCAGATTGAGCTAGACCTATCAGACTGCGCCATCTAGAGTTTCATGCCAGAACTCTGTATTAATGTTATAGTCAGCGTACAGATGGTGCATACTTACATACTACTGTTCAAAAGTCTGGAGTTAGTAAACATTTTTTTTAATAGAAAATAATACTTTTTATTCAGTGAGGATGCATTAAATTGATCAAAAGTGACATTTATAATCTTACAAAAGATTTATATTTGAAGTAGATGTTGTTCTTTTGAGCTTTCTATTCATCAAAAATCCTGAAAAAAATGTTTCCACAAAAGTATGAAGCAGCACATCTGTCTTCAACATCGATAATAATCAGAAATGTTTCTTGAGCAGCAAATCAGCATATTAGAATGATTTCTGAAGGATCATGTGACACTGAAGACTGGAGTAATGATGCTGAAAGTTCAGCTTTGCATCACTGGGATAAATTACAATTGAATATGTATTCAAGTATGATTTTAAATTGTAATAATATTTCACAATATTACTGTATTTTTATGAAATAAATGCAGCCTCGATGAGAAGAAGAGACTGCTTTCAACAAACAAACAAACAAAAATTCTTACAGATCCAAATTTTATAAACAGTAGTATTTCTATTTTATTCTATTTTCTGTTTCAATTTTTCATGAAAATTTGATTTATATAAATTATGCATTGCTTTCAATGTTTTCTTCATATACTAAAGAAACTGAATATTCACAACTTTTTTTTAAATAAAACCTTTATAGACAAGTCTATTTTTATGCATTTGTTTATTTATTTTGAATTTATGAAACTAAATTGGAAATGATATTTTGCATATAATAAACCTTGTTTATAGGATCATTGCACCTAGTTATATTTTTACAGTTGTATTTTTATTTTTTAAAGTTATAGTATTTTAAATATATATATTTTAATGTGACATTTCTAAGTGAAACTGAATATTTAGTGTAACAATGTAGGGTGGGACTTTTAGCCATTTGGCTTTGATTCGATCATGAAAAATTACATTATTTCCTGCCATATGACAGCGGTTACATCAGCAGAATAGTCAGAGGTGGAGAAAGTTATTACATTTTGATGAAAAGATTCTAAAAGTAAGCATTAGTATAACGTGCACTGAACATGCGACGTAAGATTTAAGTTTACTTTTTCACCATAACATGATGCATTTCCAAGTGAAACAGGATATTAAAGGTGCTGTATGTAGGATTGACACCGAGTGGTTGAACTAGGTATTGCAGTCCAAATTCAAAATATTGGAGAGGGTTTTTTTCACCCGGCCCCTCCTCCTCAGACTTGACACACACGCAGGTTGCCAGATTGAAGGCACCAACAGGAACGAGCGCACATGATGATGAAAGAAATGAAATACGCTGTGTTTTCCACCAACTGGCAACCCGGGGTGACGAAATACAATTGGGTAAACTGGCAGTGGGCGGGTTTCACAAACCAAAACAGAGACCTACATTCCGGCCCGGAACGCACATTTTCAAAGCAGAATAACTGACTGTAGCATTGTTTTTCAGATAAACAAGTATGTTAACTTAGTATGTTTCTTAAATATCTGCAAACATATTATGGTATTTTTTTGCTTTAGTAGAGTCAAAAACTTACATACAGCACCTTTAAAGTAGAGCAAGACTTGAGAATCTCGAACTGATATGTATTTGCGTGGCATTCTGTCTCTCTCTGTCCCGCAGCCATTCCACTGACGGCCTACGGACCAATGGCAGCGGCCGCAGCTGCAGCGGTGGTCAGAGGTACGCAAAATCACATTTACTTTGCTTGTTTGAAAATGTACTTTTATTTGTCAGATTTTAAAATGCATTAAACTCCTTCCACTTGTAAAGCAGCTTGTGAATGTTTAAGACATCTGTCCTTCACCGTAGGTTCCACACACTCACGTACCGCCGGCTTCCTGGGCACCAGCAGCCCTGGGCCAATGGCAGACCTGTATGCAGCAGCCAATCAGGATTCAGGAGTCAGCAGCTATATCAGTGCGGCAAGTCCCGTCCCCAGCACAGGGTTTGGACACGGACTCGGGGTAAGTACAATCAGACATACAGACACACATATACACATTTAGAAATATAACATTATTGTCAAAAAGGACGAAAGTAATAAACATAAAAGTCCATGCGACTTGTGCCAAGTCTGAGGTTTATTAAAATAAAGTACATTATTGATAAATGTATGTATGTTATTGATTTATATGCCCCACTGAATTCCACTGAAAGTGCATTACTGTTTATTTTGCTACTATTATATTGTTATTTGCATTTTATTACTTGCATTTATAATTGTTCCCTGCTGAAGTATTCTTTACATTATATTGTAGTATTTATTCATATTTTGAATTAACTTGTTTCAATTTATATTTTCATTTTAGTTTTATGTTTTAGTAATTTTGTCATGTGCATTTGTGATTTTTATTAGTTTTTTTTATACAAATATTTCTTTTTGGTTTTAATTCATTTTAGTTTTAGTAATTTTAGTAAAGTTTTTTAAGTTTAAGTTTTTCATGTAATATTATATTATTGTATTTTAGCATATTTTAATTAATGAATGAATTAAAATACTTTTTAATAGTTTTAGTTAATAACAACACCGCCATTTTTATATTTTAATTTTAGTTTGAATTTTGATCAATTTTGTTATGTGCTTTTACAATTTTATTATTTATATCTCTAAGGAATATTTCTGTTTAGCTTCAATTTATTTTTATTTTAGTTTTAGTCATTTTAGTTATACGTATTTCTTTTAGTAGTTCATTTCTCATTTTCATTCAAGTTTTTTTAAGTTTAAGTTTTTAATTTCATACTTTTATTTTATTTAAGTTAATGGAGATGATTTTTAACAGTTTTACTTAACAATAACAACACTGCTAAGAACGAGCCTGTCATAATTTTTTTTACCCTTATTTATATGCTATTTGTAGTATTTATTAATATTTTGAATTTTACATGAATATATATTTGTATTTTTATATTAATTAATATTTTAATTTTCGTTTTAGTAATTTTAGTACTTCAACTTAAACCTACTTCTCTTAGTTGCCAAGGCAACTAACATTTTAAATTGTTAAATTTTTTTAGGTGTAAGTTTTTCATCTAATACTTTTATTTTATTTCAGAAATTTGAGTCATTCTTATTCTCTTTCATTCAGATTTCAACTTTATTTCAATTCCCAAAAACAATTGTAATAGTTTTAGTTTTAGTTATCGATAACAACACTGCTATTAACACATTGCACCAGAAATGAGAACCACTGAAACAACTTTGCATCTCTAATAACACATTTTGTACAGAAAAATGACAATGAGCAATTTAATAAAAATACTGCTTTAAATCTCTCCAGAATGCCTTGCCACAAAGTCTTCCATTGCAAGTGCATTACTGTAAACATGATTTTTGCTTGTTTTTACAAACTAAATACATTATTTCCATTATTATGTCACTTAACTTGGAACATTCCGTTAAATTTCCTCTTTCTCTCTTCCAAGGGTCCTTTGATTGCAACGGCCTTTACCAATGGCTACCACTGAGGGGTGTCCAATCAGAGCCCAGCATGGGAGGAGAAACTCACGCGCTTGTGAACCGTGAGCACTTCTGGCGACGTGACGTGCTTTTGGGACGAACCCCACGGGCGGCTGCGGTCCCTCCTGACTCCGCTCTGGAGTTTCCACCTTTTCTTTTTCTCTATTCTCTACTAACATCACTTTTCGTTTTCCTCATCCCGTATTTCCTTCCTGACGTATCCGACTCATTTATGATATGTCTGTCTTCTGAAAGAAAAAAAATGAAGAAAAAAACTTTGTCAAAACAATATTGTTTGATTGTACGTGCGGAGACGCAAGGAATTTCGTTTCCCCGGATTTTTATTTTGACAATTTTTCTGCATTTGTTATGTATTTTTGCTGACTGTGTTTTTATGTTTTTACTGTACTCATGCTGTAATGGATGATGTCGAGAAGACAGCGAGAGAGAAAGAGAAAGAAGGGGCACGAAACTGGAAAAAAAGTCCAGGATCTGTTTGGTTTTTAAAACGAATCTAAACAACACCGAACAAATACGTGAGAATGAATCAAATTTGTGAAAAACAAAGCAAAACGACGGGACAAAAATGTATATTTTGGTAGTTTTTACACAGCATTTGTAATGTTATAACGAACATTCTTAAGCTGAATCGGCTATTTTTTCCGTAAAATTGGTTTTACATAAGAAACAACAGGTCTCATTCATGACTTTTCTGCGTGAATCTGCATTCTACAGTTTCAGATGTAAGAATATTTGACACATTTTTACACAGAAATCCGTTCTGCTCATGTTGAGGCTCATTCTTCGGCTTCTTTTTGTAGATACTGTATATATGCATGGATTTTGGGAGGGTTCGAGGGTTCGGATTGAATGATGGACTGGGGTTTGCGGGAGGGCTGAGGGTCCTTTATGGTTCTTAACATGCAAACATCTTTCTTCACATTTAGTCTTGCATTTCTGAGACTAGTTTCATGACCAAGTTGGACCGATGTGGGTCTTTGGTTGTGCTTCTCTCGCTTTCGACTCCATTTATACTCTTTCGGCCTAAATTCTCCGAATCAAACGGACCTTTCGGTCGTTTCCGTTTCGTATGAATCCTCACGCTCGTGAATGTTAAACCATTCAGAAACCACGTTTTTTGATGTTTGCTGTCACTTATGAGGCGGCACAACATCGCTGAAAAACCAGGTTGCGTTTTCCATTAGAGCAAATGATTTGGTCGCGTGTTTGGGAAACGGAAACGCGGTCTTGAGCCGCCTCATTTTCGAAGAGCACAGCTGCTGGGCTTCTCTTCATGCTGTTTTTGGAAATATATATTATATATATAATGTTTTGCGCAGTGTACTTCTATTGTAAATCGTTCCCTTTCTCCTTTTTCTGTTCGTTTTTGACGGTACAACGCTGTTTTTTTTTTTTTTTTGAAGAAATGAAGGACAAATTTACAAAGCAAAGGAGTCTGAGCGCTGTTACACCTGTCGTTGTGTGTTGGGATGTGCGTGTGTGAGTGTAAGTTGCGGCGACTGCTTAGACTGAAGTATGGATGTACACGTAGCTAGTTTACATGCATTCAACTGCCACCTTTGAAACTGTCTTGTCTCTGCCAGCAATGGAGAGGAACGTCTCTGAAATCACAGCTCTAATGGAGGCCTTCTGGGAAAATTGCTAATTTTTACGTAATTGTTACACTTGACTAATAATAGATGTTCAGAGTGATTATTTTTTTTCATTTCAGCAACATTGGATCTGTTTGATTTCTACTTAGTTGCATTCATTTTCAGTCTTCCATTTGACACATGTTGCCTCTTTTTGGAGCAGTGGTCACGTGACGACCGAAACTCCAGCTGACGGGGACGCCTCACAAAACTACTGCATGGCACACACTGTAACTATTTAACCAACAAAAAGCAATAAGTTAATTTTAAACTCAAGTAATAATGAACGCCGTTAACAGTGGTACGAATACGATGGCGGTTATGTGGCATTAAGAATTATTTTTCTGAAAAAATCTATATTTTTCAAGATCCGTTTTAACCCCTTGAAAGTTTCTCAGATTTTTACAGTACATGTTAGCTGTTTGTTTGGAGGATTTGTTGAAGGGGATCAGCGGCGGAACTGGAAAGCATCAGTGGGCGGCACTCCGTCCCGTTGCTGTGGAGCTGCACGTCAACACTGATCTGATGCTCAAATACGCTGGTTCGCTGGCCCTTTACTGTATTTTTTATTTTTTTTTCACCTCTGGAAATTTTCAAGTAAAAAGATCCTAATAAATTATTTTAAAACATTCCATTTGATGGCCTCTGTATTCATGTTTTTCTTTGTGGTTCATTGCATTTGCAGGGAATGTTAGCAGAGATTGTCATGTTTTGGTCATATGCAGAATGGATTGCACTCTTATAAATGACACACTTTATAATATACATTTGAGTAGTAAATGCAAAATCTAAAATATCCCATTGTACAGGGGAAAAGTGAATGTGAATTTTGAGTAATATTGTAAACCCTGAACATTTACAAATGTCATAAAAATAGAATGTAACATTTTTTTTCAAAGATTATATAACAAAAAAAATAGTTTGAAATAAAACACACACACATATAATTGTTTCAGAATAAAGTCATCAAAATGAAGGAATTATTAATAAAATAAAACATTATTCTGCTTTTATTTTATATGAAATATTTTATAAATATTTAAAAATATATTAAGGTTTCAATATTAACAGACCATCAGCGTTATTATAGTTAACTAATGATAAAACTAAAACCATTAAAAAATCTTAAATGTTAAGTAAAATAAAATATAAAAAAACTTAAACTTATTTTATTCAAGCTAGATTAAGCTAGAATTCAGCTAAAATAAGTAAAACTAAAACTAAGGGGAAAAAAAATATGCAGGCATTTAAAAACCAAAAATCATAAAAATGTCAAAAACAAAATTAAAATGAAATAAAACTAACTAAAATTGCAATGAAAAAATGTAATAGTACCTCCGCAATACTAGAATAATGATATAATTATAGAATACTAGTAGTAAATAATAATCAATAAAATAGAATTATTAATAAAATAAACACTGTTGGCTATAAACTATCCTAACTACAGACAGACAGATAGATGATAGATAGATAGATAGATAGATAGATAGATAGATAGATAGGTGGATGGATGGATGGATGGATGGATGGATAGATGGATAGATAGATAGATAGATAGACAGATAGATAGATAGATAGATAGATAGAGACTGTCCAAACCTTTGACTTGTAATCTATAAATTATACCTTCTTTAACATTTGTTTTGAATATTCAATTTCTCCAGTGTGTTAAATAAAAGATAAGCTTTTGATATATTTACTGTTTATACAAATTGGAAGGAACATTCACAGCACTAAAATCCTGAAAATGTTTCATGCTGTGGTGTTACTCATTTTCCATGGAAAATGTATATTTTCATGACAAATTTAAATATTAGTAGATATTTTACATTGTCAAATGCCCTCTAACATGTTACCTAAAATGGGTCTGGTTTGTTTGTATATTTCTCAGCCGGTTTGCAACATTTAATCATTTAATAACCATTGTTCATGAAGCTAGCAGAATTCCAGGGAACCAAGTAAACAGACAACTGAAAAGACATCCAAACTCTGATGACCGACCATCCAACACTTCAAGACATGGGAACAGTCGTGGTTGATCTGCCCCCTCTTGCTCTGTTATGTTCATCTCTATCCAATAACACACACCTGATACCCTGTGACCCCAATACCACCCGACAGCCCCATGTCAAACCACACACACACACACACACACACACACTCACAGTTTCTCAACATTTCTGCATTTGACTATTATTAGTCTAGATTTCTGTGAACATCCTGGTGTCATTTTACAGTTTTATATATCTGCCAAATTTTAGAGATATATGGAAAATTACACACACTTAAACTTTGGCGACCTGGAATCCGTCCATGAGAAAGTGCCTCATCTCCCTGATCCCGTTACTCACGGGTTCTTCTTGCCTCCTGCCCAAAATACTCTTCATTTCATGGTGTTTCCTGACAGCCTGCACAGCTCTCATTGAACCCTGGTGGATTTATTCATCCCTTACAACTCCTTTATCTCCACTCTCAGACATTTGTCTGTTATTGGAGTGTTTGCCTGCCATCATGGCGACGGGCAGCGCGCAGACGGACGTGAAGGGCTCTCTGAACGGGAGCACGGATTTGTATCGCAGCTGGTTCGGTCCTACGACCCCACGACCTCCTCTACGAAATTACCTGCTCCTGACCATCCTAACCTGCTTCTGTCCGGCCTACCCTGTCAACATTTTAGCCCTGGTGTTCTCTGTAATGGTGAGTTAACAATCATATCCGGCTGGACTGCATTTACTAAAACTGGAAACCGCTTGTAATTTTATCTGCCTTTATATTAATGTCTGCATGAAAGTAAGGGCTTATATTGATAGTTCACTTAGTGACAAGACGTCAGGTATCACTAGCATTACTGATCATACTTAAAGGTGCTGAATGTTTTTTTTTTGGTGGGGGACTGTACTAAAACATAAAAATACCTTAATATGTTTGCACATATTTAGAAAACATGTTAAGTTCACATACTTGTTTCTCTGAAAATACAATGCTACAGACAGTTATTCTGCTTTGAAATGTGTGTTCAGTGTCGGATCGTCTGTTTTTGTTTTGGTCTGAATGATTTCGCCAACTGTCGCTTTATCCAATAGCATTTAGACACCCCGGGTTGCCCGTTACCAGAAAAAACTCGTTCCTGTTGTGTGTCCTCAATCTGGCAACCCACGTGAGCGTCGAGTCTGAGGAGGAGAGAGAGGTAGAAACAACTCTTTCTGCTATTTTGAATAGCAACCACTAGTGTACAATAGTGTCAATATTACATTATTTTAAGTGACGTGACATGTGGCCAAGTATGGTTACCCATACTAGGGATTAGTGCTCTGCGTTTAACCCATCCTAAGTGCACACACACAGCAGTGAACACACACACACCGTGAACACACACCCGGAGCAGTGGGCAGCCATTTATGCTGCGGAGCCCGGGGAGCAGTTGGGGGTTCGGTGCCTTGCTCAAGGGCACCTCAGTCGTGGTATTGAAGGTGGGAGAGAGCACTGTACATTCACTCCCCCCACCTACAATCCCTGCCGGTACGAGACTCAAACCCACAACCTTTGGGTTACGAGTCCGACTCTCTAACCATTAGGCCATGACTTCCCTTCATTCTGCACCTTTAAGACTATGATTTCAATAAACTTCTCGGCCTATTAAACTGAAATGCTTAACTCATTATCTCTTTATGTTATGGGCATAATTCCTGCTGTTGTTTGTTGAGGACTCGTGCATGTTTGTTACTTGTTCAATTTAGCAATCAGACAACTGGAACCTAGCAGATGATAAAACAGGCCAATGAATGAATGAATGAATAAATAAATAAATAGCCACCTATAGCTAGAGACCAGAATATCATCAACTAGAACTCCTGCTGTATGTAAGACAAAAAAAAAAATGTTGGTTTGATTGCTGATATTAGTTTGACTGGATGAACACACACACACACACACACGCACACACACACACACACACACA